GGCCAATGGGAATCATTAGCACCATGAGTGATGATATTCTTTTGGACTGACAGGTGGTGGCACGCATCAAAGGTGGCGTGAACTTCAGACCTGAGGACTCTTGAAACGGTCAGGGTAGAAAGGGATAGCAAGGTATCAAGGGGGCGATCATTTTTTGGTCAGCTAGAAAACTGTCCGGTGAACCATCTTCCATAGTTGCCAGACCGATAGATACTATTAGAGGGGCCACATCCTTGTCAGACGTGCAAGGCCAGCTTAAATCCGTGGGCATTTGCACAAATGGAATCAAATGGACTAGTAGTGGCGATCCACAATGCAGGACCTTTGCGAGATCATTTGGGCCTTGTGTGTGCTGGAGCACTTCAACCCAGACACTTGGCGTGGAATGCTAAAAAACAGTGGGCTTTCACTAACTCGCCTTTGAAGTGTTCCAATGCCGTACGTTTTGAAGGTGAATATTGATTTGTCTGAATTTGGATCGTCCTTCAGATCCAGATCCTGATGACAGTTGTAACTTTCCCCTTGGTACCCCTGTTAAACGAAGAAATCCCGCGAGCAAAACCAAATATAACCGGGTTCCAACGGCGGTGCAGGATTTCTTTTGCTGCTGTTGCCCCAGCGCTTCGTTGGTTGCACTGATTTGTGCTGAGGAAATCTTCTCCATTTTGCTGAAGGCGATCTCAACCTCGACGGTGTGTTGGGTGAGACGACGGCCATCGGAGTGTTTGTGTCAAAGCTGAATGCCACTAGGGGGCTGAAATGAGCAGACTCGCAGATTTTCAGATTATTGAATCAAAAGGACCTTGGAAGCTTCCATTGAAGTTTGCTACCCCAAAGTTTGATCGACCTTCCCACGGTGGCTTTAGTTTCTTTGGCACATGTTTCTTGAAGTTATGTATGTTATGTAGGTACATGAAGGGCTAGCAGCTAAGCTGGCCAAGATTTGAGCCGCAAGTCCCCCCAGCCAGTCAATGGATATATATGACTGCTGCCAGGTGTTTACTTTCATGCTTTCCGCAGCTTCTTTGAGTGTTCTTGCATTTTGGTTGGGGCCCACTCTTTGAGGGGTACTCGCATCTTCCGTTCACAGGTGCTCAGGAAGGTTCCGGTCATCGCTTCCGATGCGCTCACACAGGCTCTGCCACTGTATGCTTGCGTGGTTTTGGTTGTTGAACGTTCCGTTTCGGTGATGTCGAGCTTTTGGGAGATCTTCACAATCAAGAGACATGATATACGAGATGTACGACCGTCATACAAAGTGTCAAAGTGTGGGTTCCTAGGGTTTATTTTAGAGATTGGTGCCTGTGGCACAGTGTTTTTGATGCTTGGCAACAATGCAGCAGCTCTGTGCCGTACCCAGCAATGCACCAAAGTCAGACAAAACTATGTATGCAGACTATGCGTTCGTGAAAGGGAAAGGACAACTTCTCATTTTCCTTGGATTCTCTGCACTATAAAAACATACCCGAACTATCAAATTCAACCTTTTTACTTTGCCCGCTTAGAGGCCATCGCTACTAGGTTGGAGGCCATCGCTACTAGGGTGGAGGCCATCGCTCTCAGGTTGGAGGCCATTGCTATTAGGTTCCTTAAAGTCCTTTTTACTTTGCCCGGGTCCTCTGCTTTGCCCCCTGCCAGCTCTTTGAGTGCCACTTGGCCTTGGAGAGCGAACACAAGAGCGAGTATCGGAGGCCAGGGATTGGGCAGTGGGGCGAGTTGGGAATGGCACAAGCTGCACATGGAATGTGTGTTTGTAAATTTTGTGTTAAAAACAATATATAAACCAATATATTATACATTTATATTATACGTTGTTTTCCTAGCAGGCTTTCATCCTGAAAGCGTGTACTTGTGCCTTTGGGAGGACAAGCTGCATAAATGCCATGGACGCATTTGGCAAGTGGGTTGCGCACATTTTGCATACGTGTGGTTTTGAATAGTTCCTAGACAAAAGTTTGGTCCTTTGGTGCCAGCCTAGTGTAACAATGTAGCACGCCATGAACTTTGCGCATTGTGCGCCTTGAATGCGCCTTGCGTTCTGCAGGTTTAGAGATAAGATGGACGCAGAAACTTTGGAAGCTCTGCAGGATTGCATGGTTCAGTCGAAGCACAGCCTTTTTGCAATGCTGCTTTTCACCCAGTCAAGTGCTTTCCAGTTAATGTATGTCATATGCATCGCGGACTTTGCTCCAGGAGCACTACAGAGATAGCCGAAAGGATGAGAGGCTGAGTGGATCTCTTTCGCGTGTGCACATCAATGCGATCAGAGATCCGTGGCTAAAGACCTTGCTTGGATGGACCGCGGAGGATTGTCAGATCGAATCATTCTCTTGAGCACTTCACTGCCTGGGCTAGTGGGTAAAAGTCTCATCTCAGGCTACTGAACAGGTATGATGCGTAGGTAGGCTGGAAAAAGATCGTCTTCGTGCACCTTTGCATAAAGTCAACAGCCCACGGCAGGCGTTGCTCTGACAAGCACCGTAGTGATGTCGCCTCTGTGCTAAAGTCTTTAGCCTGGTCCCCCAGGGGCCCCAAGCGTCGTTGGCGACTTCGTCCGACTTTGTGCAAAGGACCTTTGTCGTATCCAAAGAAGTTACAGGCTCAAAAAGGCACCTAATTCTCAACAAATCCATTCTGAGGATTTGGGCTGTTCATGGAGTCGGGCATTTCAAATCTTCAGGACCTGTTTGGAGGACCAATGCGAGGACCAATGTGTGCTGTTCACCGAAACCTTTCTCAACAGTCATGGGACAGAGATTATTTGTAGGCCCATCAGTTTGCCCCCATCATGTGTGCGTGCGTCTATTTATGTGGACGGAGCATGTGACGCGTGGACAAGTTTAAGATACACCTTCTCCATTTTCGGTCAGGAAGTATCACAAAGCCAAAAATGGATACCTGCCAACGATCTATTCACACATTTGCTTCCGGTGCCTGCTTGGATGACAAGAAGATATGTAAAGATCATGTTTCGCCACACTCTCATGATGCATGGACCATTGAACTCTACTTCTGGCTGATAACACGTTGTATCGTTGGTTTACAGGGTCTTTGAATCTGTGGAGTGGATTCCTTCGATTTGACGAGGTGGATGGCTCCGTGCATGTGAACCACCGAACCAGCTGTGGCTTGCTGGTGGATGTGGCTGCCTTGAGGAAGCCCCTCGGTAGCACGAAGGGATTCCGACGGTGATTCGAGGGTAGACGGAGTCATGGAGCCATGCAGATGTTTGTTTTGCCCGGTATTAGGTTGGAGGCCATCGCTTCTAGGTTGGAGGCCATCGCTACTGTATATATTATATCGCTATTAGGTGCAATTCTGAGGGGCCCTGTCATGCCCTGTCAAGCTTGCGAAGCTTGCGCTTTCCACAGTTTCCCCCTTCAGTTGCTTTGAGGCGAAGTTCCACAGATGGCTTCGTGCACGTGGATCTCGACTCCAACGTGACCTCAGTGCGGTCCTTGGATCACGCCGGGCGCCCTAGCAAAGCTGTGCCAGGAGGGCTCAATGTCAATGGTTTTTTTGATGCTGACAACGTTTCATATGCACGAGTTTCAGAAGAAACATCCAAGAAGTCCAAGGAGCTACTAGGGGCTCCTGGCCTTACTACTAGGAGCAAGGACGCTACTAGGGGCTCCTGGCATCGCTACTAGGAGCGATCGGACGCTACTAGGACTTCTGTATGAAGTGAAGAACAGAGAGTGTATGCCCTCCAAGGATGATCCAGCGACTGCCGGAGTGGTCATCGAGGGTGCTGTTGCCTTGAGGTTGGGCAAGAGAGGTATCCAAAAACCACTCAGGGGGAAGCAATTGATTTCGACATGATTTTATTTCCTTCTGTTCATTCTATTTCTTTGGTGTTTTTATCTTTCCTTGTTTTCAGATGTTTTCAGTGCTTTCTTGCTTGTTTGCAGTGTTTTGCATCTACAGCCCAAATCCTTCTTTGCCACGGCCCTTCCACTTTCTTCCAGTCTGCAAGATTCTGCAAGTTAATGTAAGTTGCAGGGCCAGAATATGTGTTTGCCCAATTTTTGCCCACATCAGAGTAGACGGCGTACGGATTCATGTTGAGGGTGCACTGTCGCGCCCGTGAAAGGCGGCGCATCCTGCAAAAGATGGGCTTGAGACTCGTTGGATGCCCAGCACACGAATGACCCGTCAGCATAGTCACCAAACTTCAGTGTGGGACTAATGAACCCGAGGACCCAAACGAAGAAAAAGGAGATGACAAAAGGAAGGTACCTTGCCTTACCTTCCTTTTGTCACCTCTTTTTTCATATTTTGACACTTCAACTAGATTCTTCCAAAGGCAACGCATTTGGCAAGGCTTGCACTCAACCGGATCTCGGCCCTAAGGTCACTGTCCGTGAAAGCGAGTGGCGAGAAATGGATGAGAGCAAGGAATTCCGCACAAAGCTCATCCAGATGACAAGGGATTCCATCCAAAGGTTGGAGCTCATCCATTTTAGATTCCGTTGAAGGTCATTCTAAAACTTGAGATGACAAGCATGACTCAGCATGACCTTGAAAACTGAATGGATGGAAGGCAGCTGGCCTTGGAGCTTCCACGCTCATGTAGGAAACAGTCCGTCTTTGATTGTTAGCAGAAAGAACTTGGAGTGCCTAGATCTTGGGCAGCTCTCCAGGAGAAGCGGCGCCACTTGCGGAATCTCCTCTCTGCACTTGGAGATGTTTTGGAGCCATGAAGCTCAGAGTGTTAGAGCTTTGGACATCGTTTTGAACTTCATGACCATCAGACCTTTACTTTACTGGATTCTGTTGTGATTGATAATTTCGTCGATCGTGGGGCAGCAGCTCAAGGAAGCACGGCTTAATCATATCATATCCCCCAGCCTGCCTCCGTGGACAGCCTGCGCATTTGGAACAGTTGCTCAATATTTTGTTGCATTGTTTCCTTTCTTCACCTTCGTTTTCTGATCGTTTCCTCAGAACCAGATTACACGTCGAGATCCCCGCTGGTCGTTATGTCTTGGGATCTCCGTAGGCAGTTTTGGCTCGACCATACTGCGCTGAGCAGCCCAAAACCGCATGGGATGGCGCAATTCACCGCTGCCTTCTTGGTCGTTACCGTGACTGGGACAACGAAGGAGGTCAGGTGAGATTTTCGGTTTTCGCAGGGGTCCCTCCCAAAAAACACCCGTGATTGTTGTTCAAACGTATGCAGGATTCCTGGAACCAGTATTGGCTTGAGATAGGAAAGAACACACAAAACCTTCAAGGAGACAACAATTCCTTCATTTGTGAGCGGAATACTCTTTTGTACTGATTGAGGCCTTCATGTAGGGTACCCCTTAGAGTCTAAGCAACAGTGTGTGGCGGTTGAATCAAGTATTTAGCACAGAAACAGAATAAAGGGCAAGCAATTTCCATTGGAGACTGAAATCAATGAGAAACCAATCAAGAATCAAGCACCAACCGAAACACCCTGTACACCCAGTGAGAAGCCAATGCAAAAATAGGGGAAACAAGAGGAGTCCGGAGGCACACTGCAAAGACATGTAAAGACCAGCAAAGCTTAAATTTTGTCTTTTAACATATTTAGTTCGCTTCATGATTGGTTTACTAATCGGTTTTCGGAGTTGTTAGGCAATTTTACGAGGCTTGAGTATTGAAGCTATTCCAAGGCACATAGAACCTTGATCAAGTTTTCTCATGACATCGGAGGCTTTCTATTCTCACCGAGGTTTCTTTCCTTTGGCAAGGCGGCCTGAGCTTTCGAGACGAAGTAGACCTCACAGTCGATCTCCTGCAGCGAAGCTTGGAAGTGGACACACCACAGCGAATCCGACGCCTGCAAGCCTCACCAATGTTTTGGTTTCCTGGCTGAGATCCACTTTCTGACAGTCTAGAAGACATGTGAACCGAACAATACATGGATGTGCAGAGCCCCCCGGTTTGAATGAATCGGAAAGACATAGGCCACCCAGCTTGAAAGCAAATCTGGCAATCAATCCGGCGTACATACCCGGAGCATGACTCACGCTTTGGTGAATTGGTCCTTTGGTCCAAGCGGCTTACACATCTCAAAAATAAGGGCAGGGTGAACTTGCGTCCTTTCTGATCCAAGCACACCCGAGGCTTCACTTCCCGAAATGTGGAACGAGCTTCGCCAACGCGGTCTATCACCTCCCAGGCATGTGCCCGGGACTTGATGAGACCTTGAATTTGGGCAATGAGGAGCTGTTTGGAAGTTGCTTCGAGTCGGGCTTTCGGTCCTACTGCCCCACCAAGTGTGACATGAGCTTGTTGCATTGCGATTGGCCGCCCAATGCGACCCACCAGTGGCTGACCGATCAGAAGTACGAGCAAAACAAAGGTCGCTTTGTGGGGTTGTTCCGTCAACCGGAACAGCGGCTGCTCTCTGCATACAATGATGATGAAGATCTTTTCAGGGCGTCTCCGTACCCAATCTGTAGATGTTGCAATGAAACAATGACAGCAGAAGTGTCCATGGATGAGTTTATCAAGAGATGGGCCAGCTGGCAAGCAGGACAAATTTGTGGTATATATCCAGGAGTCCACAATTTGACTCAAGCGGACGTTTCAAAGGCCGTTCAGCGACTGGAGGAAGGCTTTGCTTTTGTAGGCCTTCAAGAGGAGTGGGAGTTGTCAATCTGCCTGTTCCATGCTAAGTTTGGAGGCAAATGCTTGGCAGTGGACTTTGACGACACACGACCCTCCAAGGGAGCATCCTCTCACACCTATGACACCTCGATTCTCAATGGCTGGACGGATGAGCCGGATCGCGCAGTTTATGCCAAGGCAAAACAAATGTTTGAAGCCGACCTGCAAAAATATGACATTTCACATGAAACTTGCAAGCCTTGTTACGAGGAAGCTGGCTTGGAATGGCAAGATCCGTGACACGATGATGGCTGATTCGGACATGCCACCATTTCAGATGCCAATGAGATAGAACACCATAACATGGTGGAGCTTCAGTGTCTTTGGAACAGAGATTCCAATCAGACAGGACGTTGCGGAACTTGCGAATACAACGAACTTGTCAGTAATGCGACAATTGACTTGTAGCGATGTGCAGAAAAAGCCTGCACTGAGCTTTGCCGGCTTTGCCATGAAACATTACGTTCGGCTGCTCCTGAAGAGGCTGGGGGGCTAGCGATTTCTTGTGCTGGTTGCCACTGCCGCCAGGTGAGAGTTTACGAGCCTTGAGCAGCCACCGAGTAGTCTGCGACGAAGGCTATGCTGTGAAGAGTGAAGGCTAGGGACATGTATGGGTTTGTTATCCTTGGACAGAAGCAGAGCGTTTCAGAGAAGAAGAAGCAGCGATCTTTGATAAATCCTATAGGGAGAAGCAGCTGCAAACTTAAGAAGCGACCGAGTTTCATTCTTGCCGGGTAATGTGTGCATCACGGATTTGCCTGTTCTTACTGAATGTGTCAAAAGAATATGTTCTTAATTTTATCGCGCTCAAGCGAGAGGGCTTGATCGATCATTCTAAATTTGTCAGTCAAGACACAGGCGATGACAGGAGCCCAGAGCAAGGTGACACAGGGTTGAGGGATGTTGAGCCGTGCTCAGACAGATCAAACCTATCACATGTGGGCGATCACTCGACCACCACTAAGCTTTCAAGGCTTTCTTCGCAATCCTGGGCAGCATGTTTCTTGGTTTTCTTCACAGCCACAGCCAACTCGCTGGAAGTTGCCCTGCCAGTGGGCCTAAAATAGGCGACTCAAGAGGTTTGCAGAGCCGAGAGAAGTGCGCTCAAAGCCACATCCTTTTGCATACTGTAGTATTTGACAGCTTCTGCAAAGATGCTAGACAACAGAAATGACGTGGCCAAGGTGTGTGCGTACTTGAAGTGCTTTCATTTTATCCATTCATCAAGAATCAATCAAGTGTTCTGATAGAGTTGCTCAGAAACGTTGCTATTTCAGAATTGGCTGAACCTTGCTTGAAAATACCCTTTATGTTGTGGATGTATGCGCAGATTGCTGACCTCAGCATACCTCACTCGCCGGGGCAGTCTCTGTTTGTTGCTGGGTTATGACGCAAGTCTATGTGGCCACAACATCTAAAATCTCAATATATATATATAATTCGATTGAATATAATATAATATAGTATTGGATTATTATTGATATTGCTAATATTTATCAATATAATATTAATAATAATTTAACTTAAATAACTATAATTTCTATTTATATGAGGTCGGGAATTTAGTTTCGTTGTTGAAGGTTATAACTTAGATATTATGAAGAATCAATTCTATGATTAATTGGTCGTATTATTGATTCGCGTTGGTGGGCGAGCTTTGCGGTGGCGGCGAGCTTTGCGGTGGCGGCGTGTAGTGTCGTTTGGGGAGGTCGGTATTAAGAATATTATTGACGAATTATTGGAAATATGAATTGGGGGTTTTATTCGTAAGCGTAATTATAATTTTAAGCGTTATTTGTAGATTAAGAAAGGGAGCGTCGGACGTGGATTTCTTTTTTTTTCTACTTTCGTGCCATGCGTTGCTTTTGAATGTCCGCAGTATGCTTAGCCCCACTTTTTCGCTCCTTATCCTTTTGAACTTTATAGATTTGCAAAGCCTGGTCCCAAGTCCAGGCGGGATGGACCGAGATGAGCCTTTTGTGCTTGCACCTACCATCCCGGGCGTGAGGGTTGTCTTTCCCGCCTTAGGAGAGCGCGTGAGTCCGATTTATGTCTATGATACTCCACCACTTCGGGCGAAACATCACGAGGCATGGGTAACAGCTGGCTTAGGCCTCGTCCAGTCTCGGAATCGATGCAACCGATTAAAACGATCGTATACTCGAGCATGTTTTCGATCCTTGGATTATGGACTAGCCATGTATCGCAATAAAGCCTTATATCCAGCACAGGTGCTCTTTCGAATACGCTAGCTATGGATACAGCATCGTCGACAGATCCCCTGCCCTCGGGTATCTAATCCGACCCCTCCCGCATTAGGCCATCTTCAAGTGCTACAATGGAATGCTTCAAGATCGCTGCACTATCCAAGCTGGCTTGCCTGGTGTAATCGATCACCATATGACATCATTATCGCCCAGGAAACGGGATGGGGAATGACAAGTGAATGGAGTACTCCTTAATGGCATGTGTTACATGGGGCTGCTCGGTATGCTTCAGTTCTCGTGATGGTTCGTGCAGCCCTGATCTCACGAGAAGCCATCTCGGTTGCACACCACATCCCCGGCAGGATCATGCAGGTGAGATTGCACTTGTACCGCCCTCACGACATATATGCCATCTATCAACATGCATGGAACTCAGGCGGGAACGTTTCGCAATTGTTGAACAAACGCCAAAGAGTTTGGGATTGCCTTCGTAATTGCATCAATCATATCCCAACACGGAATCTTCTGGTATTAGGCGGTGACTATAACACACCACTTGATTTTGATGGTCAGCATATCTTCACCAAGGATCCCAAGTATGCCAAAGCTGCTCAAATTGATCGGGACCAATTTCGCGCACTAGTTCAGGATAACCGCATGGCAGCTATTCACACTAGGGTATTCTATTCCATCCCACGTTCGTGCATGGTAATCATAATACTCGAATCGATTTCGTGTTGATGCGCAAGGACCAGATTTCCTGGAGCCGAATGCAACCGAAGCATCACCCTGACTTCGACTTTTTGTTTGGCAATCAAGGCCCACGCCACTATCCATTGAGCTTCCATTTGTCCAAATGGTACCCAACTCCCAATCCCAAACACCATGAAGGCATCAACCGGTTCCGCCTTCGACAGGCCTGGACTCAGCAAACTCCGCAATGGGACACCTTCCTGACTCAGGCACGACAGGCCATTGCTACCACCACAATTCAGTCATCACCGATCGATAGTAATCTGGCATTGGAACGAAGTCTTGTATAATTGTGTAAGCAATGTTTCCCGTCAGTCAAACGACAGACCCAGGTGGATCCTGTCTTTCGATCACTCAGTGCCCAGATGTGGCTAGCACGGAAGGCTGTCCTGGCCTTGCCGAATTGTTGTCTCAAGTCCGTGTTTCAGGGTTGGTGCAAATTGACTCGCTATCGTGCTTTGCATAAACAAATCAGAAAGTATAGCCGGATCAATAAACGGACCAAACTCGAAAACTTCCTCCGGGAAGGTGTTGACTTGGCCATGAAGCACCAGTCATTCGACTTCTTTCGCCGAATCCGCACGCTCTGTCCCAAGCAACGGTACCAGCGCATTCACATGTTTGATGGTCATGGACAACCATTGAGCCCCCCACAAGAGCTTAGTGAACTGGTTCAATACTTTGGGACTCAATTTCATGATCCAGACTTTCAACCAACGGCCCTGCCCGCGCTTCAGGTCTTGCCATTCGATGAGAGCACCGTGCATGCAGCCTTACAGCGCCTGCCTGCCACCAAAGCCGTGGCTCCACCATGTCTCCCAGCCATTGTTTGGAAAATTTTAGCCACTGAACTTGCTGGTTCGACATATCGCGCCTTGGCTCACTGGTGGAGCGCTTCCCCCCCCACAAGCTCCTGATGAATGGACGGCTGGATGGCTGCATCTCATTCCCAAACCGGGAAAGCCCAGCACGAAACCGCAAGCACTTCGGCCGATATGCCTTCAACACCCTGTCTGTAAAGTTGCTTCGAGTTTTGTCACCACTCAACTGTCGCAATACACCATCGACAAACTTCGTTGCTTTCCTTTGTATGCTTATCTCCCCAATAGGAGTACTGCTGATTGTCTGCTTCGAGTGTCGCATCATTGCAGACAGGTTCGCGACGACTGTCACCTGTACAGCCAGGATAATTCAAGGGATGGCATGTTTGGCGGCCTGCAGGTTTCGTTAGACATGAATAAGGCCTTTGATTCGGTCAGCCGCAACACGGTGAGCCTTGCCATTCTAGGCTTGCAACTGCCCACGGATCTCCAGACCATGATTCACACACTGTTGTCCCCCCACAAATACTATATACCACATAAAAAGTTAGTGGGTGAGATTTTGGCCACTCGAGGGATTCGTCAGGGATCAAAAGATGGTCCGATCCTTTGGACACTTTGTATGCATTTGGTGCTCACCGATCTGGCGGCTCGATACTCGTACCAATGGATTCATGAACATGTCATAATTTATGCGGACGACGTGCACTTGCGATGGCGCACTAGTCAGCTGGCCGATGGCCTCACTGCCCTGTCAGACCTGGACCACATTCTTCGAGTCTTTCGCATGTATGGCTTCTCCATCAACCTTGACAAGAGTGTTGTCTTGTTTCGGGCTGTTGGCAAAGGGGCACACCGATTCACCAAACGGTGGGTTGTCCGCACCAAAGCTGGTCCTTTTCTGACCATGCCTGACTCCTCGATCCGACTGCCCATGGTTTCGAAAACGGCGTACCTTGGTGTGATTATAGGATATAGGGCATGGGAAATGGACACAGTAGCACGACGTGCACAGGCCGCTCACATGTGTTTTTCGACCCTGAGGAAGTGGCTCACAGCCCAATGTGTTCCGCAAGACATCAGGTTTCGATTGTACCATCAATGCATAGTGCCAACGCTCATGTATGGTATTCATGAAATGGGCATCACACAGAAAGGCTTTCGTAAGATAGTTGGCATCATCAATGTGCACTATCGACGCATGATTAGGGCCCCTGTTCACTTAACACATGAATCCACACAGGACATGTTTTGTCGACTGAATCAACCTTCTCCCTGGGCGATTCTCCAGAGCCACAACCTTCGACTGCGCCAGTCGTTGCTGCACAAGATTCAGCAAGCAGTCGAATCTGCCATGGATGACCAACCTCCCGATGTGATTGCATTGACCCCAGATTATCCCACGTGCCACTTAGACACGCCGAGTGATTCCTCCCAACCTCATGCTCAGGATCCCTCTCTTGAGTGCCCGGAATGCCATCGACAGTTTAACCAGGCCGGGATACTGAAGCGGCACATGCGTCAAATGCACCACATCCCATGTTTGCCAGAAGATGTATATAATCCCCTGCGCGACTCATTCGATGGCACTAGTGTCTGTCGTCATTGCATGACCCAATTTTCCAACATGACGACATTGCGTACCCACATTAACAAACGTGTTTGCACAGCTTTTGACTTGCATCAGGCCCTGGTGATCCCGATTGTGTCCAGACCTGAAGTGGCCATGCACATTCGACACCGGTCGTACATGGGCCTGTACTTGGATAAGCCATTGTGCCAAGAGCTTGCCACTCGCTGTGCCTTCTGCAACCAACAGGTCCAT